CCCATTGAGAGCCATACTTAGCTGGAAGCAAAGAATATAGTTCATTTCCCACTTGGGGAAGGGCTGGTATTTGGGGAGATAGACCTTCATGGTTCTGGCTACAGAATATCAGCTTCTCTGGCTGGTGGAAGGGAGGGGGCTTTTGAGAAAGGACTGTAGAGTTGATGCCAGCCAGGAAAAGGAGCGTACGTGTGTCTCCTGCTTCTCCCCAGATCCTGTACTTCACCAATGGACAACTGTATCCAACTGGTCCTAAGGCAAAGCGGGCCAGCCTGCTTCAGAACCCCCCCACAGGAGGAGTGGCCACCCTGAAGCTGACTGATGTCAACCCCTCAGATACTGGAACCTACCTCTGCCAAGTTAACAACCCGCCAGATTTCTACACCAACGGGTTGGGGATAATCAACCTTACTGTGCTGGGTAAGGCAGACTGGGGACCCACATACCCTGAAAGACTATACTGGCCCTGATAAATCTCCCCATATCCTGATTTCCAGCCCAAGTACGCAATTGCACTGGGGACCCCAAGGGGCAGCACCTCCTTCCTAAAGCCTAATTCAGCCAGTCATACTCCTGCTCCACCCTCCACAGAATGCTCCTCCCTCATCCCTAGTAACGAAGGTCCCACGCATAGGGTTTGAGTCATGTCCCCAACAGCTCCATCTTTGGGGGAACCTCCCATTTGTGTCTCAGATTCTGTCCCTCCCCAGGTCAGTGGCAGAGAAGGGGGATGACCATTAAAGGAACAAGGGCCCCTGCCACGCTAAGGACCAGTTTTGTGTTCAGAGCTTACATCTCACCCCAAACTAGAGCCTGCTGAGAGCTGAGCACATGGAAGAAACTACTGAAGAGGCTGGGGTGTTTAGATGGAATTAGGAGGTGGTGAATGGCAGCTGCATTCAGAATTCTGAAGGGCTGTCCTGTGGAGGAGAGATTTTTCATATCTCTTGTGAGCCCAAAGGGCAGGAATTGGGACCAACGGGTGGATAATCATATTAACATAGATTTGGGCTCAACGGAAGAACATTTTTCTAACCATCAGAATTTCCAATAGTGCAGATCACTTCCTGAGGATGCAGTGGTATGTAAACAAAAGTGGACTGTTATTTGGTAGGAATATTGAGTTAGGAAATCTAGCACTTAATGAGGGTGGGGTCGGAAGATCACTAAGGGTCTTTCTGTGTTTTCTGCAGTGCCCCCCAGTCGCCCCTTGTGCAGTCAGACTGGTCAAATCTCTGTGGGGGGCTCTGCTGCACTGAGGTGCAGCTCTTCTGAAGGAGCTCCCAGGCCAGTGTACAACTGGGTCCGTCTTGGATCTTCTCCTACACCTTCTCCTGGCAGCATGGTGCAAGGTAAGGGCCAGGGCGTCAAGGAAGAGGGGACTCAGGACCTGGGCAGATCTGCTCTCTAAACCCCCCACACACATAGTACTAGCTCCATGCCTGTGGGTATGAGACAAATGCTATACCCTCTCCCTGTGTCTGCCTTGGTGCCTGTATTGGCCCCTCTGTCTGTCTCCCTGCACAGTCTGTGACTGCATGGTCCTGGAAGCATTTCTCAAGCTAATTATACTCCGATGTTATGGAAGAGAGTGCAAGGCAGGGACATTCTGTGATTCCCACTTGCCTGTTTTGGAGGGATTTCTTTTAGAGATCTTAAGGGACATGAATCATTTCCAAACTTCCCAGAAGGGAAACTGAGGCAGAGTAGCATGAACTGTCTTGGATCACTTAGCCAGTTTCTCTGTAGGAACCATATAGCTGGCTAAGAGCCTTGGCTTCTCGGCCTCCTCTTGCTGGCTGCAGTGCCCCTCTCTCAGCCCCAGCCCCAGCCCCAGCAAACCCTTTATCAATTCAGAGAGCCCCCAGATTGCCTCCTGGTGTGTGCTCTGCCTTCTAAAGGGAAGGCAACAGCTTGGAAAAGCACTTGGTCCAGCTTAGGGCCATCGCAGAGGACACAGTTTCTAAGCGATGAAGCCTTTTTCCCCCAACCAGGAACCGGACGTCAGCCAGTAAGCTCCCCACCCAATTCCATTGCGTTTCTGAATCCTTCATGTGCGTACGGTCTCCCCCTCCCCTGAAAAGGCTGCCTCATAGGGTGGAAAGGGCACAGAAGTTGCAGTGGCTTTGGCATTTCCTCTCTGGGTCTCTATGGATAATTATTTGCATTCTTTGAGCCAGTTTTCCCACTAATAAAATGAGGTTAGTCCCTTCCTGACAGGATGGTTGTAAGGATGAAATGAAAAATGCTTTCGTCATACTAGGAGGTCACTGTGCGTCGAGTGAGTAATGGAACAGTTCCTCTTTGCTCTCTAGATGATGTATCCGGTCAGCTCATTCTCACCAATCTCTCCCTGGCCTCCTCGGGCACCTACCGCTGTGTGGCCACCAACCAGATGGGCAGTGCATCCTGTGAACTGACCGTCTCTGTGACTGGTAGGGATGCTGGGCAGAGGCCAGGCTGGCAGGCCTGGATTGCAGAGGCTACAGGAGATTGTGGGGGGGAGGGGGGCGAGGAGGGTCTGCAGCTCTGAGGGTCCTGTATCCTTAGACCCTTCCAAAGGCCGAGTGGCCGGGGCTGTGATCGGAGTGCTCCTGGGCGTGCTGTTCCTGTCCGTGGCTACGTTCTGCCTAATAAGATTCCAGAAAGAGAGGAAGAAGAAGCCCAAGGAGACATACAGGGGTAGTGACCTTCGGTGAGCAGAAAGGAGGGCGGGGTGGTGCGGAGGAGGAGGCAGGCTAGGGCTGGGGTTAAGGGTAGACAAGGTCAGCCCTCACACTCAGTCCTGGGATTTGGTGGCGGGAGTGGCAGCATAGTCTGTGTATTTGTGTGGAAGGGTGTGGGGAGGGCCGATCACAGGCAGGCATGGGGTCGGGTTGACGCATAAGCCGCCCTCACCTTCCTCATCCTTAAAGGAATGCTCACCTTTTGGTTTTTAAGGCCTTTTCGTACACATCAACAGGACGCGGGCGCCAGGAGTTAGATTTGCCCCGAGCGGTCAGCTGAGTGTAATTCTTTGTGGGGCAGCAGGGAGAGGAGAGAGACAAGCTGCCTTTGTCACCCGCTGTGAATGGTGGGGTCCAAAATAGGGACCATAGCAGTATTTCTCCAAGTGTGATCCACCCGTTTACCTGGAGAGAAATCACTGGGAACTTGTTCATATTCAGATTCAGGCCACTTCCTACCCCTTCTGAAGTAGAATCTGTGTATCTGTGTGAGTGTGTGTGTGTGTGTGTTGGGGGTGATGGGGCCTGGAGTCTTCATTTCAACCAAAGTTCCACGGACGATTCTCAGGCACCGTAAAGTGTAAAAGTCCCTGGGTTGGGGGGAGAGGGTGTCCTCTGAGGGGTGCCTCCAGCTTTCACTAAGCATGTGCTTATATCTATCAGAGAGGATGCCATCGCTCCTGGGATTTCTGAACAAACTTCTCTGAGGGCCGATCCTAGCAATGGGCTCCTGGAGAAGCCCCTCTCTGACGCCACTGTGAAGACCACCAAGTCTAAGCTCCCTGTGGCCGTCTGATTTCCCTGCCCATCGCTAAGGGGGAATATCAGCAATTAAAGCCCCTGGGTTCCATGTTGTCTCCCGCTTCTTTCTGTGGTATAGCACATTCCCCTAGACGGCCCCAAGAGCATTACCAGTAATGGAAGGGATGGGCTTGAGGTCCCAGATGTGATGCTGTAGATGGGAAGGGTAGGTTCTACCACAGGTCCCTCACCCCTTTCCCCCTCCCACCTCCACCTTTCCGTTTGGTCAAAGACGTGTTCAAGTTTTGAGCAGTGGCTTTGTGCACCCAAGCACCCTCCCCTCTGGCACCCTTGGAACACTTGGACATTCCTGTTTATTGTTCACATTCCAACCCAGCACAGTCACATGCACACTCGTAGATAAAAAACCTTCCGGCCACAGCCCCAGGAGCCCGTCTGGGGCGGAGCCATCAGGGCGGGGGCCAGGCCACAACAGAGTCCTCCCTCCGAGCCACCCCAGCGCTTAGCGTCCAAAAAACAAGGAGAGAGCTGACGGGAGGGTGGCTCTCCGATGCGCAAGGGTGAGAGGAGGGCCGATAACAGGCAGGCGTGGGGTGGGGTGTGAAATAGGGACTTCCCTTCCCATCTGAGCAAGGGGTATCAGACACCACAAAAACTCTTTTCCCCGCTCTCCTCGCCCCAGACCCAAAGTTCTAGGCTGGGCGAGGGCGAGAACAGCACAGAGACGAAAGGCGCCCCCTTTGGCTGTGCACTGAACAAAAGGGCTTTTTGGAAGTGGGTGTCCTGGGGCAAAGCAGAGGGTAGGGCGCCCTCTGCGGTGCACTCAGGGAAGCGCACGGAGGCTGCGGAGGCAGAACTGCATGCTGGTGCGGGAGACAGGGAAGCAAAGGATCGGGGGCGCGAAGTTTGGGGCTAGGGTGGGGAGAAGGGCGCGCGGGACCATACTAGAATGGAGAGCCAAATGAAAGGGCACGGACTTAGCGACTCCTCCACGGAGCCTGTCTGGGACAGGGCCTTTGGGGACGTAGGGAGGCTCCTGAAGCTGGCAGGTCGGTGGGAAGGAGAGGGTCACAAACACTGCAGGGAAGTCTCGTCGCTGCGAAGGGGCGCGGCATCCATCTCTCCTCGGGAACTGAGGACAGAGAAGGTCTGAGCCCCCGCCCTCTCCGGCACTTCCTCTCCCCCCTCCTAGACCCGGACAACAGGGCGGGGGGCCCCAGGCACCCTGAACCCCACCCCCACCCGAGCCGCGGCGGGTACGTGTGCGCGCCACTGTGCGCTAGAGCCGCCCCTCCCCGCCCCCGGCCTTGCTCAGGTAGCCAAACGGGGTGACTGCATATCCGTGTTGGTTCAGGTGTGTCCCTGTCGCCGCCTCAGGCGTCTTGCTGTATCCAAAACCCCGCAGCCGCACCGCGCCTTTTCCCAGGCTGGGAGGGGTGAGGGCGGGCAGAGGGAAGGGGTGGGGACTGGGTCCTTTTGTCCCTCCCACTCGGGGTTCCCACCTCGCCTTTGAGGTCCTACCATTACCTTCGAAAATGCTCAGTTCTTCGGCCGGGGGAGAGGGGGCACACGGGAGGGTGGAGAGAGAAATGGGTGAGCTCTCGGGGGCGCAGCGCCCTAAGCTCCCCCCTCCTCCTGTCTTGGATTTCCTGCCCCCCCCTTAGCTCCCCAAACCC